AGTAAATCAACAACAGCTACAACAACAACCAAAGTAGAATTACTGGTGCAGAGACTTCTCGGAAATGGGGAAATCTGCATTGCTAGCGCAGGTGGAATCTGCCACTAAATCAGAGCCACTGATTTTCATCAGCATGCACTAGTGCTGGGTTGCTTTCGCTACTGCAACAACATTCACTGCACCGTAGTAGTGCTGCAGTGGACGGCAAAACAATCAGCGGTTATTCATTAACACAAATTAACATCTCTTTTAATTAAGCATAAAGCTGAACGGGCATTGCATTGGTCACAACCAGAGCACAACAAATTGGCTGTGTATGTGCGTGCCGAGTGCAAATGTCCCTTGCAGTGCTATTGACTTCCCCGGAATGTGATGGTAGAGTTCATTTATGGCAATGAAAACGAGTGCCAATTTGAATAAGTAGAATTCAATTAACAGTCAATCAGTAAATAACATTTTTTTGTTTAAAAGTTTTTGATATCCATCTAACAAGAAAAACCCATTTTAATTGCAATTGACATAAATATGCGTTTAAATTGATTGTTTAAATTCTCCAACAAGAACCGCTGGACGTCATAAAAAGTGACAAACGGAAAGGCGGGTGATGATATTCTCTCATAAAATTGCTAATCCTTTCAAAATTGCAAACAGACCGGAATTTGAGGCTTACCAACACTTGAGTAAACTAAAAGTTTTATATTTTAATTAAAACTGTAGAGTCTACACTTGAGGAAAAAAGGGGGTAGGAAACTGAAAAGAAACAAAAAAGCAGGCATCAGGGACGGGGTTTGGTAGCTGGACAAATATTTATGTGTTTTAATTTGCATTGCCACTGCCAATTAGCACACAATAACGTGCCTGACAATGCCGACTGTGCTTGCCCTCACTGGAATGCCTTTTAACCGCGATGATGTCGTTACTTTGGACTGAGCACTGGACACACAGCATCACTCTAATTGACGCAACATGACGTTCATTTAAAAGCGGCAGAGTGGCGGTAGTAGTGGCCATTTAAGCAAACTACCCAGTCTACAACTGCCAAAAGTCCTTAAAAGTAGTAGAAATTCTTGGAAACGTTTAATGGCAAACAACTAAACAAAAAAATGCTTGCTGAATCTACCAAGTTAAAACTGGATCATACAGCAAACGTCATAAAAAAAATAGCCAAATGCAAAAGGTGATTCTAAATATATTGTTTACGTATAAAAACAACATGAGTTATACGGAAAACCTGCGTAAAAACCCAAAAATGTTCAAATGATAAACATCAAATGAACAATGAGTGAACTGACGTTAACGGAAAGAACAAAAAACAATGCTCAGTAGACCTGAAACAGTTCTAATATATCCTGAACAGATAATTAGAAAAAGGTAAATAGTGTAGTCCGCTGTAATGTAAACGCCGCTCATGCACCGGTTTGTATGACGCGGCTTCTGACCACCAACGAGTGACCTTTTCACCTAAAANAGTGTCACTAAATTTCAATCGCTGTTTCAAGCATAAAAATGAAACTATTTCTAAAAACTAAAAATGTTATCTGTAAGAGCAACTTTTCGTCTTTATTAACAATTTTAGATCAGTGATTTTGGACCAGTAACCACGAAGATTTCACCAAAAGTTTGGAGGCGTCCAGGACCCGCTCTATGGGAAACCCATGTATTCCTATGGGAGCTCGAAACGCATGTCGCTCAATGGTAGCCTGTGTAACTCGCCGCTGCAAGGCGTGAGCCGCCGCAAAACGGCGGCTAACGCCCCCAACTTTAATGGTCATCAACGATACTTCAACAGTCGCTGCAAAGCGGCGGCGACAAGGACCGACCTCGAAGATCATCTCCAACAGCATCTGCAAAACGGCGGTTCGTTTACACAACTTTGAAATCATTTTATTGCCGCCATTTCGCAGTGGCAAAAAGGACCAACCCCAAAAATGATCATCCATCCTCTAATTGTCGCCCATCTCAGCGGCAATTAGTGGATGGGTGATTTTTTAAGAAGTTGGATGAACTAGCCGCTGTTTTGAGATGGCAATTGGACGATGGGCAATCATCTTTGCCGTTGGAGGCCTTGTCTCTGCCTTAAAACGGCGGCAATAGGGTGATGATTTTTAAAGTTGTGTGAACGAGTTGCCGCTTCGCAGGGGCTATTGGAGTATTTTTTATGATTTTCGAGGTAGGTCCTTGTCGCCACCGCTTCGTTTCGCAACGGCTCACTTCTTGCGGGGGCAAGTTTCGCAGGCTACCATTGACCGGCA